AAGGTGGGAGCCCATCTAAATCCTCTTTCTAACCTCTCTCAACCTACAACAGCCTCTAGAACACACTGTAAGAAAAACAGATTGCTCTGTCTATCCATTATGGGGAGTAAGCAAACATACTTTCAAGACTAAAACAGCACGCAAACAACAAATCAGTCCTATTGGAAAAATCAGAAAGCAGCCAAAGCAGATTCTCAATTTAAGGAAGCCATGAAAGCCTTTTCTTACATTCCTGATCTGTTGAAATAGAAATAACTGATCCCTCCTCCTTTAAACTGAAAAGCCTCATCATTCCACAAAAACTTTGAGACAGCCACAGTCTCAAAACTCACATCCACAGCAAGCTCTATTTTGACAGCCACTGACGGCAGGAGCAAAGATGAAATGTTCTTAATACACAGACAAAGAAAATATGTCTTTTTATTTTTAAGTTCATCAAGTATTTATTTCTCCCCTCTGCTTCCCTAACTTCCTCCCACCCAGCTAAGTTGTGTCATCAGGCAGAAAGAAAAAATTCACACCAGTTAGGAGTTTCAGTTGTGAAAGAATTTTGATACAGCGATAGCCCTCCTGATAAAAATAGAAAGCATGACACTTGGAAGTGAAATATCTATTGAGAAATAGAGCTAAAAAATATTCAAAATGCTACGAGCCCAAAACACTGAGCATTGAGTAGGTAATTGGTACAAGATTTTTTATCCCTTGACAATGATCTGGGTCTAATGACAAAGTTCTTAAATACTTCTCTCCACACACATACAGCTATACAGAGAGTTACTTACTTGTGTATATATATGCATCTAGTTACTTAAAAAGTCTTCTTTTTTTTTGCCTATTTGTTAATCAGACTAAGAACCAATGCAAGTCTTTTAAACAATTATGCAAATCCTGAATTTCAACAAGGTTCAAGACATTCTCCTGGCTTCTCCAAGCTCAGCTCTAGAGAGACCAGGCGGGCACTTCTCGGTTGGAGAGACGCGTCCCCGAGGACGGGGCAGGACAAGGTTTGAGAACCGCTGCACTAAGCCAGTGCTGCACGGCTGTCACCAACTAACAGGGCACCTTCATTGACAAGGGAGAACTCTGGCTCTTCAGTCACGTATGCACAACTGCACACTAGAATCACCGAATCATTCAGGCTGGAAAAGACCCTTGGGATCATCGAGTCCAACCATTAACCCCTCTCTACACAGCTCAGCCCTAAACTACCTCCCCCAACACCACTTGTAAATGTCCTTTAAACACCTCCAGGGTTGGGGACTCCGGCACCTCCCTGGGCAGCCTGTTCCAACGTCTGACCACTCTCTGTGAAAACGCCCCGCATCCCTTGAAAAGATGAAAAATAAAAAGTAAACCAAGAGAGTTAAAAAAAAAGGCTCCGCACTGTAATAATAAATTCATTCACAGTGCTTGTTCTGAGCAAAATTACAATACAAACTACATAGCTTAATTACCACCCCAAATAATTACAGACATCCGTGATGGGAAGAGAATGTTCACAGAGGAACTGCAAGCTTTTTGTTCCCCAACTACTGAGTTTTCCATGAGAAATGTGTCACCGTAAGCTCTCCTTCAAAGACACACGTGTGTCCCAAGGAGCCTGGGAAGAGCTGACACCCCCGCACGTGTCCCCAGTGGTGGGCTCAGACCAAGAGGAGACAAAACCGCCTCCAGCCTCACCGACCCGCGCGGCCGAGCAAACCGACAGTGTCTTAAACCCTTCAAGGGGCTGGCACGGGGCACGAGCTCCAGCGCAAGCAGAGCTGTATTCTAGCATCGTCTTGACACGAGACACAATTACCATGCTGAGCTGAACTAACTGAAAGCTTTTTTTAAAATTACAAGCATAAATAGTTCAGCTGTCTTTTCGGTGAGTTCAACAGAATGCACACTGAGAATGTTTACTTGAGATTTGATACAATTCCATTTGTGTACAGCTTTTACATCTGTTGCTAATGATATCAAATTATTGATTGTTCACTGTCTTATACTTATTTAAACGTTAACTATATACTCAGCAACCTGATGCTTTTCCTCTTTGTTTTCAGAGAGGTTTTTACTTTTGCCCGGCTTCAGTTGTAATTACTTTGATCTTCCAGAGTGTATAATTATTTTACTATTTATATATTTCTATGAAAAAGGAAAAAAGTTTGACCTAGGAGATCTATATGTGGCAATTTGTAACAGAATCACATAGCTTATGTTTAGGAAATCATGGTTTTGATTAAGAAGCAACCATTTAGTTCCCACTGTTTTATTAAAACAGACATTAGCAGATAATAGGAAACACATTTAAGACTGTAGGCTGCATTTAGTTTGCAACATCAATAAAGCTATTCTGAAGCCCCTTCCTATTTTGTGTTTACCACAGCTCATGTGAATTGCTTTTTGCTTTTACTTTCTAATAACCAGCTCTAGAGTTACATAGGGATATGAGTGCTGGTCCCACAGACTCTAAATCGCAGTTTCACCTAACCTATCCCGATCACACCCTGAAAAATGAATTGCTCCATCATCCATCCACCTTCACGGAAAAACCAAGTCTTTTTTTATATTATTATTAAAGCAGTATGTGATGACTGAAGTGTGTAACTCAAGTCCCTGATTTTGCATACTAACAGAGCTGTCCTGTGCAAATATCCAGCTACGGAAAAGAAAGGAAACGTCACAAAAACAGAGATGATGAGAAACCGAAACCACCCAAAGAAGTGCAGAAGTCTCCCTGTTTCCAGGGGGTTTAGATTACTGCCCTGAAGTTGCATGGCTGATTATTCTCCACACACCATGTACCTGCCACAGACTCTTTGTTTTCTCTCCCACTCACACGGTTGATGAATCAACACTACTTGAACCACGTTGTAGCAGCTTGTGTTTACTTCACACATACCTTAACCTTCCCTTTTCTCCTCCTCCTAACACACACACACACACACACACACACACACAAACAGCACGACTGGCTGCGTCTCTGCGAATAGCGCAGATACAGAGTTATCTGGCAAACTCTTCAGGTTTGGATCCTTGACCTCTTGATTGAGGTCTCATTCTGCTTTTACTGCACTTAACAATTTAGCTGTGCACTTACTAAGTAAAGAAAGTAAGAGCTTAAAGAATTGAATGCTCTAAGAATGGAAGAAAGTGAAAGACAGCGGTGTGCTAGAAACACTCAAAACCTGCAGTGGCATCTCTACGGTGAAGAACACTACAGTTAAGGGCTTCCCATGCCTCTGCAATGGGCACCCTTGCCCAGTTTGGAAGAAAAAAAGAAAAAAAGCCCGACCACTCTCCCAGAACAGCAAGTAAAAGTGAATGGTGATGACCTTGAAGCTATTTCATTCCCTTGACTGTTTTTTAACCAAGATAATACGTTAGAGCTCTTTGAATAGAATTCTTTTATTAAGAGAAAATTTAGAGAAAAGAAACACTTTTGCATCACACAATGGCAATTTAGAGAGAGAAGAAACTATCCAGTTTAATTGGCACAAGGGTAACCAGTGTACTAAAAATGTCCAACCAACATTCGTACTTCAAGTTTAAATCATTTCAGTGAGTGAAAAGCAACCCCTCCACTTCCTCACCTGCACTGCTACCCCGCTTCAGCCTGAACAACCTTCCTCTAGACACAAGTAAGTTTACCGTAAAACATTATTTTTTTTCCCTCCCTAGTAAAGAGTGAAACACTGTAGAGCCCAGGTGCGCACCAGCCAGACACATCGAGGAAAACCAAGATGTCTCAGAAATTGTTCTGGTATTTTACACAGTATTGTTTCATGTGTCCCAAACTCAAGCAGTAGACTCTTCATGGCATTATTATGCAGATTTCTAGTCTGTCCTATGGAAACTAACCAAAGCAACCTTTCATAGCTCATGTATGGCAGCTTTTTAAGAGGAAAAGATGGCAGACTCTTTCTGAAAGACGCTAATCCTCATGCGGCTCAAAACACAAAGGCTTCTCAAGGACAGGACATCACCCTATTTCTGCACGATGCTTGTGAATCCTGTTTTGATTTTCTTGGCCACTGAAACGATCACAGACAGAAACAACAAAAAAATAGCCTATGTCTCCTTTCAGGCAATGAATCTTCCCTTCAGTGGTGTAACGAGAGAAAAACTACGAAAAAGCCTATTGCAGGGTAAAGGTAATATCCAAGGCTGATGGACATTTGGGGAAAGAGGAGCCAGTTGCTACTGAGGAAAAGTCTACGGCTATCCCCAAACTCCTGCTCAAAGCACATGCGTGTTTTAAAATAAAAAACTCCTACCAAAACAAATGGTCCAGTACACAGACAAGTCCCTTCCCAAAGGAAAGGATGAATAAAAGAACAAATTACACACGATAGATGCTTGCCACATTGCTTTGTAAAATACTGGAAGGTGACTGGACATTCCAGTAACGAGAGTGGGACGAACTTACCTAGAATAATTTTATCACCTCAGGCATTCACTGTTAACCAACCAACACAATTTCATTACAGAAAAAAACACAAACAAACAGCTGTTTTCATCTTGACCACAGTGGGCGCAGTATTTGGTTATTTGGCACCATCTCCTACCAGTCAGGTATTAAATCCTCTACTGGTATCCAGATCCGCAGGGCAAAACACGGCAGAAATGCTCTGCGCACTTTGCAGTGTTGAAAACACAAGAGCAAGGGCACGTGTACCTTTGACAGTTTCTCAGCTTTCACAAATAAAATGCAGCTAAGGTAATTTAGACAGCAATTTAACTTTTAAATTCTGAGATGCTACAACTTTTTTTTTCCCAAACGTTTTAGATTAATTCAAAACATAGCTGATCTTTCAGCACAGCTAAACGGGATACTTTAAGTATGTTTTAAGAAGCCTATGTTGTCTGTGAAGTATCAGATTTAATGTGACCCCTTTGTAGACAAATTCTCTATTATTATTACAGCTGATTATCACTTTTACTTACAGCAAATAATCTCAAACTACCAGCAGAAGTTCAAGAACTTGGAAAGTCACCAAAAAAATTTGATTTACCTTTAATCTTCTTGTACTTTTTGTACCATCTCCCAAACTCCTGGCACTTGGTTGCTGACACATTGGCATAGTATGTGCTATTTACAATGGATGAAATCATACTCTGGAAGTACAGAAAGACAGACAAGAAGTGTTTTAAAATACCTTGCACAATCAGAAATCTTTTCCAGGGAAGGCAAATGACATGCAAGTGCACAATGATCACCCACTTGTGACTTCAAAACCAAAAGGAATACAACAGTTTGTTTTCATTCTCCACTCTATACTCCCAGCCATAATTAAAATTAGAAAATAGCAATTATTGTTTTACACAACAATGCGAAGAAGATGTAGTATGAACCTAGACTAGACGTGCGGCTCAGGCTGGGGGGCAGTTCTACTTCACTCTGTAGCCACGATGTTACAGAACCTACGCTGCGGCCACAGCACAGAGGTGCTGCCACGCTGGGGAGCACGAGCCCGCTGCCCCCCGTGAGAGTACGCACAGCTTAGGAATCAGATCCTAAAGGTAAGATTAGATGCTCCAGCATGCATAACCCAAATAATGCTTTTCAGATGTCTCTGTTCTGCTTCCAAATGTAGCAAGACCACACAGCCAAGAACTGGAGAACATCCGTGCTACTCGCTGCACAAACAACAGTTAGGCAAATAAGTTAAATTAACGTAATTTATAGAAACGTGTGATTAGCCCTTGCGTGAAAAATCACCCAAAAGAGAAATTAACAGCATCATTCAGAGTGAAGGGAACTACACATACTACAATATAGAACTGCCAGAAACCACAAAAAAGCTCAACAAAACTGGAATATCACTTGCCTAACCACAACCCCTCTCTGCTCTTTGTGAATTCTCCCTAAGCCAACCTCAGCACAAGCCAGCTGAAGCAGAGAGGTGCAGAGTGGCTTTTGCAGCGCCCGATACCCATAAAAATGAATCTTTATACCTGGGACGCACTTGTCCCTAGGGTGGGAAAGAGGCTGCTTACTGGTGATTCTTCCTTTTTTTAGTTTTTCCCCTCCCTTCACCCATTCTACAGAGGAGGCACCTTTTTAACAACACGTTACCTCACTCTGAAGTCTTTCCAGGGTCAAATCATTCCCAGCACGGAAATGCAACCGAACGCCGCTCACACATGGGAGCCAACGCACCTTCTCCAAAATCCACGTTTCCCTTATGCCCTCCTTGCTCGCTCACGTCAAGGCCCAGAAAAAGCCCTGGCAGACGGCAGGACCTCTCTGCACAGCGAAGAGGGGGCGAGGGCGGCCTCGCAGCTCGAACAAGCCATTTCCAGCAGGTTCAAGCTCTGGCCCACTCGCTCCTGCAGAGCGGGATATCTTGGCCATCTCTGGGAAGCTCAAGGCTTACATGCTGGCTTACGCAATTCCAACAATGCTCTAAAACCAAACATACTCCCTCCCTCTTCCAGATTTATCCAGCCTTCCGCCCGACTCGCTGCAGTACCACCACACTCCAGCTGCTACTGAGTTTGGGGGACTTAAACAACGTGAGCAAAACTGAGAGACTTAAGGTAACGGCAATGCAGAGTAGTTTCGGTCTTCACCAGGTAATTTCACTTGGAGTAAAAAGGCTCTTCTGCCTTTTCACTTGAACATTTCTACTCGGAGGCTGCTACGCTGTGCTGCAGAGGAGTCTGAAGGCTATGAAATAAAAGCCTTTTGAAGTAGCAGCTTCAATTTCTAAAACTGGGATTCAATTTTCTAATTAAAATCAATATTTTGAGACATAAACCTAGCATTGTGGCAGTCAGCAGCAATTCCCTCCCCATAAATCCTCCCTGGCTCTAAGTGATTTTAACAAGCAATAGTATTCTGAAAGCCTGGCATGGAGACAGCCTCTGCTAAGGAAAGATTCTGAGCAAAGTTCAGCTAACTCGAGGTTTTTCAGCATCATTTCAGCTAAATTTGCAGTCACTAAGGAAGGGTAGAGAAACTGTTTAGCTCCATCTATGTAACAATTGGGCTTTTCGCTTTTTTTTTTCCCCCCTCCATCAAATCCTCTAGCTCTACAGAAACAGACATTAATGAAAATGTAAGGCTATTAAATATCACAGACTATATTAACCCATCAACCTTTATTTGAGAAAGCAAAGCTTAAACCAAATAGTAAAATCAAACAGTAAATCAACCACTGGTGAAAAATCCCAAGACAAATTCTCTTCAACTGACAGCACAGCAGGGTAAAGAACCATAACAACTTCTAAACTACATATCCTCACTATTACATGTGAACAAACCCTAGGGGTATTTCTGCTCGGAATTCTGCTAAGTCTGCGGAAAGGAAATATCCCTTCAGAAGAAAGTGGCAAAAAACCCCAGTGACTAATTGTAAATTTCTAAATAATGCAAATTATTCTTGGGAATATCCTTAAGGAAGGAACAGATTTTAGGATGTAGCAGATACATTTGCTATGTGCACTGCCATGACAGCCACAACGAAAACTACTTAGACCAGGAGCTAAAGAAATATCCGCACAAAGCAAATCTGGCACAGCAAGTTCAAGGAGAAAAATATGGGACGTGCTCACATCCCGAGAAATCTTGCTCCGGCTAAGAGGCAAAAGGCACAGCCAGTGCTGAAATGAGTTACACACTACACAGGAAGGACAGAGGTTCTCTATGCGAAGATGGAAATGCTGAAATAATTGGGTTTCTTTCTTCCACACACACACACTCCACCCACCTACCCTCCCTTGCCCTCGGCTTGGTTAACTGGGAGTTACTTGTTTGAATGGGAGCCGTATGCTACGGGTAGCTAAGCTGCAGCCACATAATACACCTAGCAGGAAAAAAAAAAACCAAACAAAAAATCAAACCCAACCAAAACCCACCCAGAACAATTCTAAATCAAAGTGAATTATTACACTTCCCATTAGTGGCAATCAGAATCCCCATCTGGGCTGCACAGAGAGCTCGAGCAGAGAGAACCAGAGACGGAGCTCCGGCAGCAGCAAGAGCTCCCGCGCTGCCCCTCTCCACGCCCGCACTCGAGGCACTGCGAGCACATTAATAAACAGCAGCATTTACTCTGCAGTTGGACTCCTCAGAGACCACTCTGCAATTTGCCGCTGTCAATAATATATTAACCACAAGGGGGTTGTAACGACATTTCACATTTGGCATGATATTTTTTTAAAACTGATTTGGGAGAAGGGATTGTATTAGAGGCATATTCAGATGACGGTAACAGACAGCTCCTACACAACCTTCTACTGTATCTTCTGCATTTTGTGATCTAAAACAAAAGACACTGAAACTTTTTGTGGCAGTAATAGGAATAATAACACTAGTAAAAGCTGCATTCTTGCAGTCCCAGTTCAAGGGCTGGCTGCTCCTCAAGGTCACTTACACCTGTGCTTACAAGTAAAAAGCAAGCTCAATTTTCTATGGAAGGATTTCCTTTTAGCCTTGCCCACTAGATGAGTACCAACTCAAGGATTTTTGCTGCTGCAGTTCTGCCATCGCTAATTTTGTAAATATATTTCAGACTGGGGCTATAGAAGGAGTAAACCAAGTGCAGCGTTGCCACCTGGTAGGCTTTGAAACTGAAGTGGGAGGAAAAAGATCCAGACAACAAATGAATTCTGCATATGAAATGATGCGTAGTTTAGTTATCCTGGATATTGAAGAAGACTGGGCAGAGACAACCATATGCTGCAATCATCATTAGCTGACCAGATTCCACAGATAATTCTGTTTAAAGAAATTACACTTAAACTGTGTGAAAAGAAAACTACTTTCACATTCAACGCACTTACACTCTGTGCATATCTCGAGTCACTGTTACTCCTTCAGTAAATAAGGCGAGTTACGCGGCTTTTCCTCACACCGCCTTCCCAACCCTGCTTGTTCTGCAGAGCCCACGTGGCTAAGGAAGATGAGGAACGTGATCCCCACCAATTGCAAGGACCCAGCCTCTGCTGTGCATCTCACCTCTGAGCTTTCCCTAGAGTTCTAATCATAACGCACTGAGGCAAATTTGGAAAGAATTCTCTTGGTTCATGGAGGCTTTGGACCACGAACTGCAGGGTGAGTGCACCGTGCAACGCAAGACAGGCAACCACAAGGGAAAAAATGTTGCTTACAGGCTAGGAAAGCAATGGATTTTAGCAAGGAGGGATTACTCTTGTTCTGACTTAAGATACAATCAACAGACTAACCTATAATTCCAATGAAGTTTATAGAAGGCATGTATTTTTCTCTCTTAGCAAAGTTACTTGGTCTGCATGCTGAAGTGTTTTTCTGGGGTTTTTTGAGAGGTAAGGAGGACTCAAGTCATGAAAATTTTATGAATCTCTCATTATGACAACCTTAAGTACAAACAGAGCTCATGATATCTGTAGGAACCTGTGCCTTAGACATGACATCACTGCCGTATAAAGTAGTCGTGGAGAATGAGACTGAGTTTTTGTTCTTTTTTTTAACATAATTATATATACATTTTTGTTGTTGTTGTTTCCTAGAAATTAGGGCACAACTGTTAAAACAGCACAATTTTTATCACAGTTGGAGGCTGATGAGAGCTACCTACGGGTTGGTGGGGGAGGCTGGCCTCTGCTAGTGGGAAGAAGCCACTCAAATCTTGCATTTGAAGATCATGAGTCCTATTGCAAAAGGTCCACATAAAGATCTAAATAAAGAATTTACATCTCTGAACAACCAATTCATTCATAATTTCAACCTGCCAACTCACTATGAAAATATGGTATGAAGATAATCTTTTTCATATTAATTAGAATGTCTCCTTTTTAAAGAAAACAAGACATTGACCTGGTATTTATAGAAATGTTTTGGTTTAAGTCCTTTTTTGAATAAATATTAGCTTTAGATCTTGCAAATCTGGCTTTCCCAAAGGCTGTTAAAAACACTGACCTGTGAGAGAGGGCATTCTTTGGCTAACGTGCTCTGATTCATCTCTTTGAGCAGTTCCTTTAAGGCATTGCGAACTGTGGCGTGGTTCCACTGCTCTGCTGGCAAGTCTTCCAACTTTGAACAACTGTTAAAACAGAAAGGAAAAACCAGATAGAAACATCACCTTTGCAGAAACTTACTCGTTGCGCATGAGCGCTCTAGACCTTTACGGAGCGACCGCGACCTTGAAGTCTCCTGCTTAGCCAGCCCATCAAGGTGTTTCTCCCCTCTTTGCCCTCTCCACTCAGCCCGATTGCTGGGACACACGTAGTTCAACCAGAAGAATGAGAGTCCATGTCAGGAAGAGCAGCTCATTCTACCGTGGTATTACATGTGTGCATAACCACTCCCTCTGGGGCCTGTCGGAGAGCAAAGAAACCACATAAAGAAAGTCCCAGCAATGGCTGGATAAAGCCAACCACTGCAGGCAGAGAAAGTGTTCCTGCCAGGATAGAAAAATAAACACGTGTGCCACACCGCCACTAAGAGAATCTCCAAGCAGTAAGGGCCCTCGTTGTGGGGAGGCCAGGCTCTGAAAAACAAATTTCGTTTAATACAGGTTCTTACACCGCCCTCATTGCTGAAGTATCCAAGAGCCTTTCAGAAAGACACTAAGCCATATGCCCAACATCTGTCACACGCAGTTCATTCGCACTTTCCTTCTACAAGAACTGCACATGTAGCAAAGCTTTTGTCTTCATGTGACTTGCGCCTCTTGTAATTTAACAAGCTTATGGTCTGTGTCTACATACGTGGGGACAGACCCGAGAAGCACAAAAGAAGGTTGGAAGAAGCGTGTCATTGCCATTCACGCCTGAGAGACTTAATGTACGCTCTCCCATCAGCCTCTGAGGTGGTTCTGCCTTCTGCTTACACAGCCTGGCTCTACCCTCGGAGTTGAAAGTTCAGCTGTGCTAGAGGAGTTCAAGTAGTCAAAGACCATCTTATCTCAAAGTCACAGGCTATCTTTTATTTACACGGCATCCAGGCATTCAAGCACTTCGAAGATAAAGAGTGAGACCTTGATCTGGGGTTGATACCCTCTGGTAATATGGATGTGACAGCAGGCGAGACGGACTCCTGGTAGCTCAGGTTTCTGAGGAGACAAGTTACTGCACTCCGGTTTTATAGTGGCTACAGGCTCTAGGTCGTCTTTTACACCTATGCTGTAGAGATGCGGTCTAGCTGAGGAACAGTAACATCATATAAACCCAAGGAAAAACCTGTTAGTGGGAACAGTAAGCCCCAAGCTCCATCAGAAATCTAACAGAAGGAAATGTTGCTGCTTGGGAGGTCCAAATTCCAAAGTGAAATGCTGAAGAGTATGTACCTGCCACCAAAGGGCGCACACACGCACAGACACACGCATCCCAACAGACCCTTCCTCAGTTCAAGTCGAGCTTACAGAACTGTGGGCAAATTATTCCAGGCTGGCTGGTATTTTCGCCTCATTCCTCACATATCCTGACCACAGAGCCGCAGCAGAGTGAGCAATGCAGGCTTACCAGCAGGTCTGGACTACACCATGCACTGCTGCAAATCCTTACGCAGACATTGGTAACTATTTGAGGACTCTTTTGAAGACTAATAGGGAGAAAAGGGAAGAAAACGTGGGAGATAGTGAAGGGAGGGCAAGTAAGCGTAAAAGCGTCTGCTCTGCAAAGCAGAACTAGCATTCAGGGAAGGACAGTATTTGCCAAATGAAGCTGCAGTTAACACCTCCCTTCCTCATCTCACCTTTTTCCTGCAAAGGCCACGGAAGGGAAAAGGCAAAAAGCACCCCTTCTCCCCATCTCAGCAACTGGCAGTAGAAGACCTGAATACTCTCAATGCAGCCGCTTGAAAAAGGCATGGAGTTTATTTTCTTTTCAATACAATAAGGCCTCAAGAATCCATCAAATTAGGGATTGTGGAAAGGCTCACCCTTAAAGGCTCCGTATCTTTACTCGACTGAGTTTCTGCCCCTACCTGCTACCATATTGCTACTTCAGAAAATGTACAAAATCAGTTGGAACATGTACCAAAAAGCTGCCAGGTGACCCAGCCTTCTCTTCATTTTCCTTTCTATTTCATCACAAGACCAGGAATTAATGAAGACAGGATGTGCTAATCTCTGTAGTAATGCTGTAATCCACAGCACAGCTCAGCGAATAGAGAAGGACAGATGTTCAGAAACACCCACCTTTGTAATTGGATTTTCAATGTCACAACATGATAGACATCTTGTAGCATGTCGGCTACTGTCGCATCTGGTGCATCAGTCACATAACTGAGAGGGAGGGGATTCCACCTCCCAAGCTTGATTATTCCTGAAAAGAAAAAAAAAATAATCACACTTTAGATTTTATTGGCCATTTGCTAAACCCTTTGATAAGCTTGAGAGTACATGAGATTTGAGACCTGCCTTGAGGTTTATTGCAGTCTTGCTCAAAAAGATGCGTTGCACTGACTCCTGAAGCAAACAACGGGGAAGAGTAGGAATAGATTTCAAATTCTTAGCACAGAGTTGCTGACATGTTTCTGGCTCTTAAATTACTTTAAGGAAGCACAGGAGGCTTCCTCCCTTCATGTCTTTCATCATCCCACTAAAGTCTAGTTCTCTAAGTTAGAACAAGCTTTAAATACTCTATAGCCCTGATTCTGCAGACTACAAAACGCTCCAGAAAATAAATGCATTGGTTTTGACTTGAACGGGAAAATTCCTATGTGTGGGCTTTCGGCACACAGTTACAGTTTGAGCAGAGTACGATTCCCAGTGCGGATGGATAGCACTGGAAATCCACCACGAGGGAAGAGTTCACTCCCAGCTACAAGTCACACTACGCAGACAGTTGCTTTTCTTTGTGAAAACAACAACGGCAAGCTGCTGACCGCAAATCCAAAATAGCACGTCGGGGGCAGAGGAGAATGCTGTAAGTTCTATTTCTACTTCTGTCCATTCTTTAATAGGGATCATCACCTCTTCTGGATGAGCTTGTCTCAAAGACTACAGATGTGGACGGCAAGCCATTCGGTGCAGAGCTATCATTTGTTTAGATGATTGCAGAGGGCCCACCCACACCAAAAAAACAATGACTAATACCCAGGAACGACTTCCAGGAAGCCGCCAGACAAGAAAGCCACAGTGCCACCTTGCATGAGAGCAAGTGCAGAACACGGCTGGACCGCTTATCGCAACTACTGCGTCTACTCCCTCCTCCACGTGTTTCCCATTGCCCTGCTCACAGAACTCCTCTCCGCAGCCCTATGACCACCTTTTTCTCCCATTTAAACTGCTGCCGTTTGAGGTCAGCTTCTCTACTTTTTAGTCGTCAAAAAGAGCATCTCTGGATGCCAGAAATCCATTAATGCAAGAGAAAACTACTTCCTCTGTGGTAACAGGAGCTCTGATAACCCTCCTCTGCTATCTGGAAGGATGCCACGATGCCAAGAAACCTCAGCTGTCTCTCCTCCGCGTTTTCTACTTCTGGTTCTTCACCAGCTCTGGAACTAATTGAACTGAAATAAATGACAAAGGCCCTTTATTCTGATCTCCCAAACCTGATCATAAAATAATCACCGCCTCCAAACCAAGTTTCTTGCACAGAGGCAGTAACAGAACACAATGCTTATGAGTCCACAGAATACCTGCTACGGAGTGGGGTTTTTTCCCCACACAAGTTGAAGAGGAAATAATTTCAGCACAATTTATTTTCTGTAGCACTTAAATCTCTGCATTTACCGTTGACGTATTGCTTTGCGAGGTATTCTGTCACCACCACCGAGAGAAGCTCGAAGCGACCTAGCTCATCCCCAGTGGCACAGAGTTTCACTGTAACACGCTGGTACAGATGGGCTAATATTTCCAGAGCAGATTAGAAAGCTTTTGGCAAGGGAAGATCTTGTCCAAACGAAACAAGAAGTTATTAAGTGTTGCTTGATATCCAATGCTTGGAAATGGGACATAAACAGAACAAAAACATTTAAATGATGCACTGTTTCAGTATTAAGATTTAACAATCTGCTGCTGAATATGCTGCAGTATAAATAGTGCCTGGACTCAGATCCAGTAGAGTAACACACAGAGCTCGTTCACAGCACCGTATGTCTCCAGTGCTGGCTCCTTGAGTCATCTTCCACTTGCCAAGAAAAGCTGTTTTTCTTAAGGGGATAGTTTACTTCATGTTATCTCTGGTGACAACAAGAAATGCATACAGTGCAGCATATATTAGCCATGAAATGAGCATCAAGGGTCCACCGAGTGAAATACATGCTGGGAAAACACAGCCTAGTTGCCGGCTTCCTTCACCTCCTTCTGCTATATAATAATTCAAGGGAAAATCACCTAAAAATCCAGAAATCTATACCAGCTTCACAGAACACTTGGCTTCCTATGTTTAACCACGCCAAGTTTTCGTGTAATTGAAAAAATAAGCATCATATGTGCCCCATAAGTCACATCTAAATTGGTAATATTTTACAAGAGGTTCTATTTTTCATTCAATTAAGGAAAACGCTCAGAGTGCGCGCCATCTGCAACCACTCGGGCCCAGCAACACCGGTGAGAGACAAAGGGACGGTCAGGGGTCACCGAAGTCACCGAAGGCATCCCCAAACTCCAAAAAGTTTAAAGAGAGAAACCACAGCGCAGCGGAGTGCACCATGGGAAAGGCTATGCAAACCGCTTTACAGGAAACGTCTGCTACTACTGGAAGTCAGGTAGATTTATTTAATTTTTTTTCATCCTCCTCTGCACCCGCAGAGGAAATTGCTCTGGCTGGATTTCGACACACACAGGTGTTCCCACAAGGCTGGGTGCCTCTGCCCGCTCGCGCCTGCTGCCAGGCCTTCGCTCCGCCTTACGGCATTGCTGCCGCACGCTGTTTTCTCAGCCAGTGTGATACGACTGTGCATATTTTTATTATTTTTTTTTTCACAGCACACTGAAAACCGGTCCAAATGACAGCCAGAAACCCTGGTTTCCATCCAGCTCCTCAGCACCCTTCACTAGGGGTTATTTCATGGCACTGACACTGTAGTTAAGGCAACTCCAGGGCTGCCTTTGGGAAGATGATGCCAGCTCATTGAGCAAACGTCTCCTCTGCACGCTACCAGACATTGCTGAATGACTCCTCAAGTAAAATCTGCACGGGCCAAACCTTTCTCCCTGAAAAGGTACCTTCTTGTCCAGGGCTGGGTGTTTCTAGAGCAACAGTAACCCCAAGATGAGAACAGCCTGGTAGCAAGGGGTCATTTCCACACACACGGTTTGTATTGTTCCCCTCATTGACTCCGAATGGAACAGCTCAGGCCTTTAAAGAAATCACTTTAATTAGCCTGACTGAGCTTCCACCCTACCACAACTGAGACTTGGGAGCGGGGACAGAGCAAAAGTCACTGCGTTATTAATGGATATACTACTGCTTCAGGGATATCGCTCCTTTGCCAGCTCCAGACCGTCTCAAAAATTATGTGTGGATAATGTGCCGCAGATCAGACTGCTCAGGAAATCCAAAAGCATGTCTTTCATGAGTTCACAGAATCACAGAATGTCAGGGGTTGGAAGGGACCTCAAAAAGATCACCTAGTCCAGCCCCCCTGCCCGAGCAGGATCACCTACAGTAGGTCTCACAAAACTGTTAGAGTCTGGTTCTCGTCCCTGTATCAACGATCCTTTGGGACTTTTTCCCTGTAAGAACCTTTTGAAGGGAAGGTTCAACAGATATCAAAGCTTGCCCACACTCAACAAACGGCCATACACTAGAACAGCTCTCCTCTAGACATGGCTCAATGCAGCACAGGCCATTTAGTCAATTAAAGAAAATAAAGAAACCAAATAGATTTTCTCACAAGATTTTTTTTTTTCCCAAAATATATTTCAAAAGAGGTTTCCTATCCACGCTGGCTGTTGGTTCTTGAATGGCACGTCCTTCTACAGACACGTCTTTTCTTAGGTTTAGGCTTCAGCTTCATCAAAATACAGATAAAGAAACAAGACAGAGTAACGTAGTCTAAAGCTTGCACAACTCCCTTCACCCACAAGAAAGCCAGAACACACCAGTGGCAAAATTCTGTGAGCTCAGGTACCAGGTTCATCCACATCTACCACCACACTCCACTGCTGACCTTCCATGGAGGCCAGTGACGTGCCACCCTCCCAGGGGACTTGCAATTCAGTTTCATTTAAAATGCAGCGCCTTTGGAGAAGAAAGTGATAGCTACACAAGTCAGAGCAGAACAACAGGCTGAACAGAACGTTTGCCCAGCTACATCACGGCTGGCCTCTACCTCTAGCAGAACTTGCCACGGGATCTTTATGACCCTTATTTACAGCATCAGCTGGAAGAGTGATGCATCCAAAGCACTGGGATTATTCCTGGGACTTCCATCCCGGCAAGATGTGAATCCAATGGATGCAAGGGTTAAGCAGACTTCTAAAATAACTACGTTAATCAGGAGCATCACAACGGCATGAGGTAAAAAGCTGCTTTCCTAGAAAAATACAGCAAAGCTGGCAAACCCTTTTCATTAGTAAGTAGCTCACATTGTCTCAGAAAATTAGTTACCAATACGGGCTAGAAGCCTCATTTGCCTTCGCAAACAAAAAGACAGCCATGCAGTACTCTCATTCTAAGAATGCCGCCTCTGGGGTTTAGGATATATATCTCATAGCCTGGCTATGACATGTCTCGACCATAAACAGACCGAGGTCCTGGTCCTGTACCTCCCGGTCACCCCCACAGCTCATGTTTGACCTGTATAGTTCTGTGTGAATTATCGGGGCATCTCACGGACAGCACCGTAAAATCAAACTCTTAAAACGGGGCATCTTCCGAACTCCTTTTTGCAGCTAAACAGAGTCAACAGGACCAGAGCACAAGAGTACATCTTAAACGGAGACTTGTTGGTAGGATGCACAGGATTAACGCAATTTATGTAAAATGCTGATCTGCTAGGATTAAAATTAAGTCATGCGATCAAACGAAGGATATTTCTGAAAGCTCCTATTAGGAACCTCAACACTCTTCTGGAGACAGTTCAGTCAAAGAGTCTTGTTTAAACAACTTTACTCTCTAACAGCAGCTCTTACCGACACAACAGAAACTCAGGAGAAACTGGAGATCAGCGATAGTGCCCTGACACTTCTGATTTCCTTTTGCAACTCCAACTGTCAGCCGTTTTTCCAGAGCCACTACTGCCGGGCCCCTGCACGTCGGGCAGGCTCCTGTGACACCAACTGCATCTGTCTATCCTTTTCAGAGGTCTTGTGTCCCAATGCTACCACATGTAATTTTCCTTTGTTCAACTGTGCTTTGTTAGAGAAATTAAA